CAGAATGTACGTCGCAGTGCCCGAATCAGCGAAGTGACGCAACGACGTCACAAAGCAGTAACCGCACCCGAAACGAAACCGCCGTTTCACCCAACCCGCGCGACGGCGCGACCGCATGACGCGGACAGCCCGTACATGGAGGCGCCGGCCAAGACGATGAGGACGACGGCTGATCGCGGCATCACGACGCGCGAATACGAGGACAACGCCGCCTTGGCCTACGACGTGTGCATGAATGTGGCGGACGTGGACGATGACGTACCTGCGACATTCTGGGAGGCCATGCAGACACCCGATGCGGCGAACTGGCTTGATGCGTGCAAGAAAGAGGTTAGCAACCTTCAACGAATGCAATGCTACCGTGTGGTGACCAAGCCGCACGGATGCCGAGCTCTCAAGAGCAAGTGGGTCTTCAAGCGCAAAGACATGCCTGATGGCTCTATGGCCTACAAGGCGCGAGTCGTAATCAAGGGCTGCGCGCAACGACGAGGGATCGACTATGACGAGACGTACGCACCGGTCGTCCGCGGTGACTCGTTGCGGCTGACTCTCGCGATCGTGACCGAGCGTGGAATGAAGTGTCGTCAAGGTGACGCGACCAACGCGTACATCCACGCGGATTCGGATCGCATGCTCCACATGGACATGCCAGACGGATTTGGCGATGACAGCGGTCGAGTCTGGGCAATCGACAAGGCCCTGTACGGCATGAAGCAAAGTGCCTTGATGTGGTACTTACACTTCAAGGGCATCTTGGAAGACGACGGCTTCGCCGCCACGCGGAGCGACGGCTGTGTCTTCACGCGCCGGACAAACGGTGCTCTTCAGATCATCACGATCTACGTTGACGACATCCTCGTATGCGCGGAGACAGACGAGGAGGTCGACGCGATCTTTAACCACATGCAGGCCCACATCCGCCTGAATGACATGGGCCCCGTATCCAAGTTGCTGGGAATGGAGATTTATCGCAATGAGGATGAGATGACGATGGATGTGCTCCAAGTGACGTACATCGAGCGGATGGCGGCCAAATACGGCCTTGCGAGTGCCAACGCAGTCGACACGCCGATCCCGCCAGGGACGAACCTGAGCGAGGACATCGGCGCGGTCCTCAATGACGACAAGCCATACCGCCAGATTGTGGGATCGCTGCTGTACTGCGCCATGGCCACACGACCTGACATCGTCCATGCAGTCACTCAACTGTCCCGGCACCTAACACAGCCGCATCAGCTCCACATGCACATGGCGCGCCGCGTTGTTGCCTACCTCTTACACACAAAGACGGTTGGGCTCTCATTCACCGGCGGTCGCAGAGGAAGCGACAAACTCGTCGGCTTCTCCGACTCGAGCTGGGCGGACGACCGCACCACAGGAAGATCCACGTGTGGTTACTTATGGATGATGGCTGGCGGCGCGATCTCGTGGCGGTCAAAACTGCAGGCCATCGTGACGCTGTCGACGGCCGAGGCCGAATATGTCGGCGCTTGCCTGGGCGCGCAACACGGTATGCACCTGAGCAACCTATTGGGAGAGTTCGGTCAAAAGGAGGACAAACCGGTTGTGCTGTATCTCGACAACCAGAGCGCGATCGCGATCGGCTCGAACCAAGCCAGCATCCAGAGGACCAAGCACCTAGCACTACGCTTCTACTTTCTGCGGGACTTGGTCAAGAGCGGCAAGTTTACACTGGCGCACCTGCCCACCAATGTCATGCCGGCAGACGTCTTTACCAAGCACGTGTCCAAGGATAAGTTGAAGACCGCGATGGCATTCATGGGCATGGGAGGCTGTTGTGGTTTCTGCCCATGAGGCGGTTACATGTTACATACATTCGGAAGA